AGTCAGTTACATGCCGTCATTTTTTATACCAAGACTAAATGAAAGTTGAAACCTGGAGCCGCTTTGCGACGTAAATTCTGCGCCAGTGCCGATTTCTGAAATGAATTCACTGAAACAAACTCTAAAGTCATAATGAGCAAGAAAAGATGCAAAAGTAATAATATGTGCATTTGAGGACAAATAATTAGCCTTTTTTAAATAAACTCAAAACAAAACGAATGGGGTAACAGAGTGATAAAGTATTTTCCCATTAAAAAAGTGCCTAAAGCCGAAAAACACAGAAAAGGTGAAGCAGCAATTCGCCCAGAAAAAGCTCTGGGTTTAAATATTCATTCGAAGAGAAAAGCATCAACAAATAATTCCGCCTATTTTATGTGGCTCAGTAATAAAGAGAAATTCAAAATTTCTAATGATTTTTAGATAGTCACAAATTTTTAAAACTGTCTAGAAGCACAAGCTCGCTATGATTTCTGCAGCATCTTTAGTTTTACGCCAATCCACATACAAAAAAGCGTAGAGTCAGTCATTTTTATGTGATTCGACCTTATAACAAGAAAGAAAGAATATTTAAAGAAACCAGTTTGATCGGATCTATTGGAGTCGGTGGAGAAAGTTCCAATGTTAACAACCATCGATACATTCGAATCGGTCGATAGTGCACTATCCAGAGAATTGCCGTATATGTGTATTGGCGTATGCCGATCCCGATCGCTCTTACGATGCAGCAGCAGGTTCCTATTTGTGAGCAAAAACAGAGTAAAAAATTTTCGGAGCAGTAAAAGTAGGTCGGGTAAGAATAAGTGCTAAATCAAAAGGATGCGTCTGTGTGCAGAGATGTTTTCGGGTCACTGGAGGTACCAGCGCTATAAAAAGTTTTTTACATCGAGAAATGATATTTCGGCCTATCTGGGGGTTATAAACGATCAAAACTCTGAGCCCATACACCGCATCGTTTAGAAGTTATAAGCTGTGCTTTAGTATGGACCTGAATTCAAATGTCAAAACACATGGTATGGTTTGAAGCTGACTACTATATCTCGTTACATTATTATTGCGGATTAGAACATCAAAATTCGAGTAGACAAGCATACTGCTCTGAAATCATATCAACTTTAACTTGGACCTGATGTTTCAGGTCATGCGTTATCAATGCTGCATTTTATGGTCAACACGAAGAACAGCAAAGTCGCCCAGACATTCGGTGTGGAGAACCAATGTTACTGGGGTGCTTTCACATGCTAGGCTGCATATTTCAAGCGTGTACTTATCGTCTGTTCGGTGTGGGGTGAAGACCGATCGAGTGATTGTTTAATTCATGCAGTCAATAATATGTTTAAAATTACTTCTTGAAGTTCTGCTAATGTCAGCACATATTTATTTGGATTTTAAACATAAGGCAGAAAAATAGAGGGTCTAAAAGCCGATTTAACGGTTGTAGTTAAGCGTATTCTCGACTCTGTTTCGAAAGTAGCTCTTTACTTGAATAAAGATGTTGTCCAAAAGATTATTTCTTTCTGGCTTTATGAAGAGCGCACGAAAAGTTGCTTTAACTAATTTGGCGCGAACCATCGCTGTTACTGTGTCCTCCAAACCACTACATCTGTCAAGTTACCATGTCAGTTTCGTGTTATAAATATGCGGGCCAAGCTGATATCACGTAAAAATACCGCATTTCAACATCTTACTTGTACTTCTGTCGTTTGCTAACGGCAGTTTGTGGTAACTCCAGAAAACCCGAACGCCTTCTCGAATCCAGCGGATCGCATGGAATTGGTTCGGTATTCGATTCAAATGAAGTTGATGCAGACTGTTCGGTTGAAGACTGTTGCTGGGCTTGCTGCACTTCAAGACTTCGCCGATCAGCCCAAAGTTCCAAACACTTTTGACTTACCTCATTCTGAAATTTTTAGAAGTCCTTTATTTTCATGAAGTACATGCCAGCAGCGTTGTTTTACAAAAAAATTTGAAAACTTCCTAAAGTTGAAATGTTAGCGGATCCCGATGCTCTCGTTCAGAGAAAATTACTTACGTTAGGCTTTAGATGGACATTGAACTGATGCCTCGCGACTAGTTGCCGTTGTTTCGAGTCGATCTGGCGCCTACATAAATCCTTCCCATCGTATAAACTTCCCTAAAGCCACTGCGTTTACAAAATGTTGTACAAAAGAGTACGCAGGCTTCGCGGGAGTTCAAAAATATTTCAGTAAACATTATAAGGGCCAGTTATTTCCCAATGTTTTATAGAGAAGATTATGCTCCAACATATCTCGCAAAAAGTTGCGCGCCAAAGGTTCTGATTCCCAAGCTGACAGCTGCTTAGTAACGCTTCAGCAAGAACTGCTTCGAGCCCAATGCAATAACGCGTGAACAAGATTAAGCCGGAATTATCGAAAAAAAATACTTTTGAAAATATCTGATGACGAACAAATTTGGTACTTTTCGAATGTCACAGTCGATTGAAAACATTTGGCTTTTGGCAGCAACTTAGGAAAATTGGAAACGAGAATTTTGCGCATATTCTGCAAAATTCCAATTGCATTTATATGAAAGAAGATCAGAAAATTTCCTGGGAAAACTCGATAAATCATTGGCAACGCGCACTGGGCAGGCCCGTGCGATTATGCGTTTTTGCACTGTTTCGCGCTGTAATAAGATCACTCGAAATTCCGCTAGCTAGAAACTACTTGTACACACTGGTCCTCGAATTTCGGGAAGCTAATTATCCACGCTATACATGAACAGGGAACATCCCCTCAAAATCCCAGGTTCCCAGCTTTCTCACTCCCAAGTTATCCAAATTCCAGCCAGAAAATTTTACGGGGCCGTACGTGGTAACCACGCATAATGGGGGGGGGGGGCTCAATTTGATAAATTTAAGTTGTAAATGAACTGAGAAAATTCGTTGAAAGTTTCAGCCTCCCAGCTTTCTTGGTTCCCAAGCTAGCGATTTTCGCGCCAGAAGCCCTCATGGGATCGTACGCGGGAACCACATCCCCGGGAGCTGAATTTGAAATCTTTGAGTTCTATTTGGATTGGAAACATAATCCCAAAATTTCAGCTTTCTAGCTTTTCTGGTTCCCGAGTCCCACCACAACTTTGAGGGGCTCGTACGCGGGGCCTAGACGTGCTTGAGAGTTGGTACCGCGGTCCGGGGTTGGCACTTGGCCGGAGAACCCACTCGCAAAATTCTGGCGCCGGAGCTTGTTTGGGTGCCGAGTTGAAATACCCGGACAGACACACAAACACATACACACACCGGCGTCGTCACAATATGTGTTTTCGCATATATGCAAAAACGCATAAAAACCTTTGAAAAAAATTGAAAAAAAAAAATTCTTATGAATCGCCCCACAATGATGATTTTTGACCAGTTTGCTCTTCAGTGTATTACTTTCAGGGAAGAGCGTTTTTTTTTTTTTTTTTTTTAATTTTTTGCTGAAATATGACAATGATGAACTTTTCTTCCGTAAACAGCAGGATCTTGCACCGTTATCCGAACGCTACTTCTCCTCGGATCTGCATATTCCATTTCTGAGGATTCCTGTTCATATTCGCATATTCTGTCCTAAAATTCTCTATAGGCTGCAGCAGTCAATGAAAATTTTGTGACAAATCAAAATGAACAATCAGTAAATTGCATATAATATTTGTTCGTACAGAAAGTTTAGTCTGAAAATCCTGAATAACCACTGAAACGAAGACAAA